GGATGTTTCACGTTGATGTTAAAGTGTTAACTTACAGGGTCAATGCCCATATTGTGGTTATGTTGTGTTGTTGTTCATTTATGATGTGAACTGCGGTGTTTTCTTGCTTCTGGTTGGGTTGAATGTGTCTAGTGAGGGCCGCCATGACTGAGGCTGTGGCAATTAATGACCTCTGCTCACTTTTCCTGCTTCTTCATGTGCGTTACTGCTAACACACCTGCAATCTTGAAGGTTGAGTAGAGTAGAAAACACTGAAATCTCTGTGTCACATTTTGTTTTTGCTGTTGAGTTCGTCACAATATTTTTTAAAAATTGGCAATATAGGCCATGAAAGTACACAGAGATGTTTTTAGCTCTCAAGATCTGTTTTTGAGCACCAGTATCATGGAACAAATCATAGTTTCACCAGAAAAACTGAACCAGTTTAATGTCTGTGACGTGGAGGAAACACAACAGTTATTATAGTTTAACTGAAACTAAACTAACAACTAATATTTTCAATATGAGACCTGAAAAATGTTTGAACTAACTGAAACTTAACTAAATTAAAAATAATTAGACAAAACAAGTATGCTAACAAGAAATTCTACCCTGGATGTTTGATTTTTTTTGTTTTGCTGATAATTCACTGGGGAAAATCTCTAAAAGTGCATTCTGGGTAAATTTTAAAGGCTTGTCTCACCAAAAATATGCCGTAGCAAACAAAACGTCTCCTTCTTCTCGACTCTTTTATGCCAGGGTCGTCCCTCATGTGCTTAAAAATGAAAGTCAACCAGGAAGAATAACACAAATTAATAAGCTTTTAAAGTTTCCCTTTCCTTACAGGTACTTTCACTCCCTGTAACTCTGAATACGCCCCTAGAATGGATGTGAACATTTCCATGACCTCAATAAATATTATTGTACAAATAAATCGTCTAAGTGGAACTTTGGGAACTTTTCTCAGATTTTATTTATTTAAATGAAATTAATTGGCAGCAGAGTTTTAAAGGATAGAAAAGACTCAGCTGAGTCGAAATGAGGAGCAAAATCCATCCAGTTCAAATCTGTATTTAAATGCTTCCACATTCAGTTATCTGTGTCTAAATTTCTGTTCAGTGCTGTTAATGAAATTCTCACTGATCAAATTAGTCACAATTATTCTCTATGCTTTAATTTCTCTGACAGGATGGATGTGACTTCACATTCGACTGCATCTAACGCCACTGAAGGCGGCGAAAACAAGTCGGAAAACCAGTCAGAATGCATCGTGATCCAACCGACAGCCAACGGGACGCTCCCGCATCACAGCACAGGTGAGACAATGAGAAGGTCTGATGAGGTGAGACAGGATGAACTCGGGGGCAGAGACGGATGCGTAAACATTAGAAAGTCCCAGATAACTTTAGAAAAAAGAAAAAGAAAAAACAACTGCAGCAAGACAAAAACCATTAAGAGATCTGAGCCATGTGGTGAAGAGACACCGTGGCATGTCTCAGACAATGGCAGGAAAAATTGGCAACAAGCAGTGGGAAGAAAACAAAAGAAAACTGATCACAAATAAAACCTGCAGGACGCTGTTTACCAGCTGGATGACCGGGTGGGAAGTATTCAAGAGTTACCTCGAATCTGAAATGTCTAATCACAGCTATAAGAGGGCACACTGAAGCCAGTGTGGAGAGCCAAAACGACAAAGGCCTTGTCAGGATGGCTCCAAAAGCAACTTTACTGCAAAAATAAACATTTTACAGCCTCAACAAAATGCATTTTGGTCT